GACCAAGGAGGTTCGAGCGACCTCCATGACCAAGCCAAGGCGGCGCTCAGCAACCCCATTCTGCTGAGGAGAGGCCGGAAGCGTGAACATCTGCTCAATGCCCTCCCCCTGACAGAAGGCCTCCAAGAGGCCGGAGGAGAACTCACCACCTCTATCAGAGTGCAGTCGCAGGACGGGAAGGTCCGTGTGAAAGCGCCTCTCCAGCTGGAGACGGGTAGCGCAGATCCAAGGGATCAAGACAGCAAGGACCTCTCACTTGGTGCACAAGGGGAAGACCGTGGTGTAACGCGTGTAGTCGTCAACTACCAGCAGGAGAAGCGCTCTCCGCCTTGTCCACGGACGCGGGCTGGGCCCCACACGTCCATGTGAAGGGTCTGCGGAGGAGCCTCCGTCGGGAGGAACTCAGAGGAGTGAGGGGTGGCACGCTGCCGCCCCTCGACACAGGGAAGGCAGGGAGGGGCAGGGGACGGTGGCAGGGGAGGCAGTGACCTGGGGAGACCAGAAGGAAGCGAGAGTTCATGCCACGAAGGCGCTGCATGGAAGGGTGACCAAGGCGGTGGTGCCAGAGGACCGTCCGGTGCGATAGGGTGCGACACGAGCAGGGGGCGGACAACTGACCTGACGCAAACGCAGATGCCACTACCTGAGGGGACTCAGTGGTCAGTATGTGCAAGTCCGACCCCGGCTGCCGAGTGAAGGTAGCCAGGTGACGACCCGTCTGGGCACACGTGCAGTGTGTCACACTCTCATAGGCAGGGGCGAAATGGTGAACACCCGCATCCTGGAGCGCGGATCCCGCCACCAAGTTCATAGAGAACGAGGGGAGGTAAAGGCCCGACAGTGTGCCGGACGGGACAGCAAGACAAGGGAGGGCAGTGGTGGAGGTCGCACGGACCGGATCCCTTGAGGGGTTAGCCAGGGAGACAGCAACCGGCCTAGGGAGCTGCTCGAGGGCAGTCCGGTCGCGAAAGAAACAGCGGGAAGCACCTGAGTCCATTGTGAAGGTGTGCAGTGCCTCAGTAGACGCAGAACCTGAAGGCGCAGACTCACAAGCACCTGAAGCAGCAGACACATCTGCACCTAGAGCAGCAGCCTCACCAGGACCAGGGGCAGCAGACGCACTAGCACCTAGAGCGGCAGCCTTACCGGCACCTGGAGCAGCAGACTGGATACCGGGGTCATGCGGCACACACAGGTGACAGGCTCCCTCTGCACTAGTAGACAATATATACATTGCAGTGAGAATAGCATCATAGTCAAGAGCAAAGATATCTACCCTCTGCCTAAGCAGCTCCACCCAGTCGGGGAGCTCAGCGTCGTCGCCAAACTCTGAACGCCAAGCGTTGCTCAGACGGGCGAAGCAGCGGGACTCTGTGTGACCACGCGTCCCGCAAGGCTGACCAGTCCGGACACCCGTGCTAATAACGTACGGGCAGCGAGCAGTACTCAGCAACCCTCTACTCTGAGCGTACCACTCACGAAGCTGCTGGGGCGAAAGAGTCTCGCGCGGACAACGTTGCTGCTGCACCGGGCCACTACAACAAGCTGCTGGGGCGTGAGGGACACACGCGGACGGCCTTGGAGCTGCATCTGGCCACGCCAGTAGCAGCAGTAGCAGTAGCAGCAGCAGTAACAGCAGTAGCAGCAGTAGTAGCGGTAGCAGCGCGGGCAGGGCAGTGCTCACCAGTGGTGGGAAGGGCAGGCGCACGACGGAGGCGACTGCGGGGCCGCTTCAGCGGCAGGGCAGGGCCGCGACGGTCGCTGCTGCAGGGTGGGGCAGGGCCGCGACGGCAGCTGCTGCAGAGCGGGGCAGACCGCGACGGCAGCTGCTGCAGGGTGGGGCAGTCCGCGACGGCAGCTGCTGTAGGGTGGGGCAGGAGCGGCCGTCCAAAGGGCGGGCGCGGGGTAAGGCAGGGCGATGCGGCGGGCAGGGGCGACGCCGCATGGGCCCCGCAGGGGCGTCCCGACAAGCGGGGGCGACGCCCGGTTAGACAGAAAGCGGCGCGCGGGTAGACAAAAAGCGACGTGCGGGTAGGCAAAAATTGGCGCCCAGGCAGATAGAATGCGGCGCGGGGGTAGACAGAAAGCGGTGCGCGGGTAGGCAGAAAGTGGCGCGCAGGTAGACAGAAAGCGGCGCGCGGGCTGCAGAAAGCAGCAGTTATAGGGGCAGCAGTGGCTGCAGGTGGGGCAGCGCGGCACAGCAGGGCTGCGCGGCTCAGGCAGGCAGGGCGGCGCGACGGTGGGCCTGCGCGTAGGTTGCTGTTGCATACGAGCCGCGGCTGCGCGCGGGGCCGCACAAGGACGGCGTAGGCTGCGCGCGGGCGGTGCTGGTCGCGTGTGGGCGGCTAACGGCCTACGCGTGCTAGAAACAGGCCGCGCGCGGGCGGCTAGCGGGTTGCACGCGCTAAAAAAAAGGCCGCGCGCGGGCGGCTAGCAGGCTGCGCACGGGCAGCGTGAGAGAGAGAGGCGCGCGAGGGCGTACTAGCAGAAAGAAGGCGCACGAGGGCGCACGAGCAGAGAAAGGCGCACGAGGGCGCATGTAAGGTAGGGCGCACGAGGGCGCTTCTAGCGCAATAGTGGGCCCGTACTAGTAAGCGGTCCTAGGTGGCTAACCTAGGCTCGTAATACCATGTCATAATGAACAAGAGTGATTGAACTAGGAAAGAGTTGGGTACAAGTAGGAAACCCTAAACTTACTGTACCCAATAGTAGCTACCCCACTACAGCCTAAACAAACTGTAGCAGATATAACATTTGACAAAACTGCATTTCCAGGACTTCGCCAAGTCTGCATGTGAAAACGGTTATCCAACAGCTGCTGCGTTTGGCTTGATCCGCCTCTGTAGAAAAACGACATCCGATTTGAACTTCCTCCAAACGCCCCTGCTGACTCCTCTCGCGAGCGATCATGAACGTACATGTAGAATCATGTTCCCTCGTGTGGGATTACCGTTTTCCCGAAACTGTACAGCTATAAAACGGTTTTTCACCGTTTCGTACCTGTAGTAAAAATGTTACCTTTAAATGCGCAGCTTCTGGCGAAATGTCCTTGTGCCACGTCACAAAAGACAAGACTCGAATTTCAGTTATTCAACTGAAATTTCGAGTCAATTCCCGAGCTCCCTCCAGGATCCCGCGGCACCCCCTGAAACACACGCGCACCCCTCAGGTGCGCAATCATGCACGACCGATATTTCGGTCGTGCTTTACAGTGCAAAAACGTGCGTTGTCACGTTGCGATCATGGGCCTTGTGCCCTCGCGAAACAGTGCCCTGTCACACGCGTGGGCCTGAGGGCCCACACGCGCATGTCAGGACCTCACGCTCGGGTCCTGACAGTCGCGTGCTTTTTGACCAGCTCGAGACTGGTCAAAGGGCTCGGTCAAACATCGAGCCCCACCTCCCCGGCACACTCGACTCACACAATGAACACTCCTGAAAAATACACGAATAAAAACAGGAACATTCATGAACGAAACATAAACAGTCATGAACGCACATGAATGAACATAAAAATACATGAACGCTCATGAAGCTCACATGAACAGTACGCGAACACTCAAGAACAAGACGCGAATTTCCATGAACACTCATGGACATTCGGAACTTCATGAAACACCACAAACACTCAAGAAAATCCGAAACTCCTTGCATGCACTCACGAAACACACGCGAACAGTCATGAATGCTCATGAATGCAACATCACAGAAACAAACATAACTTATGAACCGCTAAAGCGATTCATGAACCGTAAACGCCAGAATGAAAAGCACACAAATGCGCATCACACAAACCACAAATTACCAAAACCTTCAAATTTCACCTTGCTCGACAAATAAGCGACAGGTTGACGAGCAAAATACATTTTGCACCCAACAAACTCCCCCTCAACCTGACGGCTATTCAACTCCCTCAGCCAGCTCCTCACCATTGATCGGCTCTGCTATCTTGCCAATCCCAACTCCAGTTTTAGGAAAGGTTGCCACATCCTCCCTCACACTTTCAGCTTTCATGACATCATCTACTTGTAGCTTCACCGAGGTAATATCATTACCTTCCAGGGTCTTATCCGCTTCCTCCAAGCCCAGCTTCACCTTGGGTTCCCCTTTCACCTCAGTCACATCAGCTGCAGCGCTTGCCACATTCAACACCATCGTTTTCTCCGTCACAGTTGCATCTTTCGGCTGCACCGAGATTTTAGGCTTCAGCTGCTCTCGAGTGCCACCCTAGTATACTCCCTTTTCCTTGTTCACAGCAGCACCTTTCACTTCACTCCCCCTGGATTCTGCACCCTTCTTCTTATCAGCACCGGATGCACCTTTCTTTTCAGCTGCTGCAAGTCGAGCTTTGACTTGGTGCAGCTCCTGCACCAGCAGCTCCACAGTAGTTTTCAGCTCCTTAATCGTCTCAGCAGCCACCGCAGCACACTCCCCCTTGCAGATGCAAACCCCATTCTCCTTTTCAGGTGCCACCTCACTCCATGGCACCACCGGCACATTCCACAAATCGTCGCGCAAGTCTTTTTCCTCATGCAGGTCCCACAGCACACAATCACCGAGCTGCCCCACGAATGTTTCAGCTCCATTAGTTGCTGTGCACACCCCTGCAAGCCCCATTTTCCTCAAGGAAATGAGGTTCCCCTTCAGCTCCGGTACTAAGAGCACGTCTTCCAGGACGATCGGCTTCCCATCAGCTCCTTTGAAGGCTGTCTTGCCGACCCCCATCATTCTCATCTTGTGTCCGCACCCTGAATTCATCTCAGTGATACATGTCACACCAATTTTGTCTAGCAGGTTCGCCCTCGGGGTCATATGTTGTGCTGCTCCGGAGTCTAGGATCCATGTGTTGAGGGGACGAGGCTCTGCTCCCTCCTTGGCAGATGTATTCTTATCTCCCCTACTCCCTTGCACGTGGAAGAACAGTCCAGGAGCGCGTTCCAGGTGTGCTCTCAAATGCACTCTTAGGTGTGCTCTCAAATGCACTCTTAGGTGTGCTCTCAAATGCACTCTCAGGTGTGCTCTCAAATGCTCTCTTAGGTGTGCTCTCAAATGCAAGTGCACTCTCACGTGTGCTCTCAAATGCGCTCTCAGGTGTGCTCTCAAGTGCACTCTCAGGTGTGCTCTCAAATGCACTCTCAGGTGTGCTCTCAAATGCACTCTCAGGTGTGCTCTCAAGTGCATGTCAGAATATTATGCTCTAGCGTGTAGTGGGGTGCTCTATAGCGAGTACAACCCTTCTAGGGTTTGCTATTTGTATCCTCATTCTTACTAGTGCAACCCCCTTCTCTCTTCTTTCTTCTAAACATTCTCGTTCTAAACTTTCTAAGTGCAATCTCATGTGTGCTCTCAAGTGCACTCTCAGGTCTGCTCTCAAATGCACTCTCAGGTGTGCTCTCAAATGCACTCTCAGGTGTGCTCTCAAATGCACTCTCAAGTGTGCTCTCAAATGCACCCTCAGGTGTGCTCTCAAGTGCACTCTCAGGTGTGCTCTCAAGTGCACTCTCAGGTGTGCTCTCAAATGCACTCTCAGGTGTGCTCTCAAATGCACTCTCAGGTGTGCTCTCAAGTGAACTCTCAGGTGTGATCTCAAATGCACTCTCAGGTGTGCTTTGCCCAACCTTCATCCACCCCACATGCAGCGGAACAGGGATTCTAACAGCATCAGGATTGTTGGCATCAGCATTTCACACGCGACTCAAAAGTCACCTGCCCCCACGCTCCCGCCATCCATCCCACGTGCAGCGAAACAGGGTCTCTGACAGCATCAGTGTCAGCATCAGGATCATCAGTATCAAAGTGTTTTTTGGCATCCCCTCCACCCCCTCCCCCCCTCCCTCATCCCACATGCAGCGAAAAAGGGTCTCTGACAGCATCAGGATTAGGATCATCAGTATCAACGTTTTTTAGCATCCCCTCCACCCGCTCCCCCCCTCCCTCATCCCACGTGCAGCGAAACAGGGGCTCTGACAGCATCAGCGTCAGGATCATCAGTATCATTGGTATCAACATTTTTTAACATCCCCCCCCGAACACCAGTTTTGCACAAGCGTTTGTAGCGGGAAAAAAACGAAATAACACTACAGACCAAATGATGTCAAGGACTCATGGTTGGGGGCTTAACGCCCACGAATATAGCACTCAAGCTAAGGTGGACCTGGCACTGAATTCTTTTCCTCCTAAGTCTCCGGCCGGTCGATTAAACATTATGAGTTATATGATGGCAGTAAGCAAGCCAAAACTGTTCACACGAATGAGTAGAACATACCGTCATACCCCGGATATACCCCCATGGGGGACAATAATAAAACGGGTTTTTTTGGGGGGTTGGGCTTAAAATCGCGTAAATTTATAAGCGCCGGCGTTTATAAAATGACATGTATATTTTTTATGGTTTTTAACACCAAACTGTAGATCTCGTGCTTGCCTTTTCAATCGATTCGAAGTTACATGGGGTCGTCTGTGAAATTCTCGCGCGCGCTGGGAGATACACCCAATCTGACTCACATCCAGCTCCTGACAGCTCCTGCTGATTGGACCCGCATCGAGTGCAGGGTCCGAATGTGAAGGGAACCGAATCTGCAACACATCCGCCTGCTAAAGTAAAAATCGTTACAGTGTTTTGAACACATTTTAAAATTTGATGTTTACGTGCGCTTATAATAAAACAAGTTTTTTCAGGGGGTGCGCTTATAATCGAGCAGCGGATATAAGCGCCACATGCCAATTAAAAGCGCCAGGCGCTTATCCGAGGGTGGCGCTTATATCCGGGGTATGGCGGTACTGTTTGTGCATTAGATCCTACTTCTAGATCTATGCTGCGCAAACAGAGAATACTAGGGAAGGATAGTATAGTTATTCAAGCAAACCTGCGCAGTTACTTGAAGAACAATGACACCGTATGCCATGACAATACGACATTACGCACAATGAGATGGATACTAGAATAATAATACATAGAGGGTAAACAACTCAAGGGTTTGCAAATAACAGGGTGTAATGTATCGGATAGGGCACACATCTCATGACACATCCGCACCGCATCTCATGGGCACACATCCCCACCGCACTCTTATCCCCACCACATTCTCATCCTCACTGCACTCTCATCGCCCACACACTCATATCCCCAGCACATCGTCATCCCCACCACACTCTTATCCCCACCACACTCTTATTCCCACCACACTTTTATCCCCACCATATTCTCATCCTCACGCTCTTGTCCCCATTGCAGTCTCATCCTTACCACTCTCTCATCCTCACCACTCTCATTCCCTCCCCTCCTAAATACCTCCTCCGCATGTTCCCTCGCCCTCTCCACCCCTCGCTCTCCCTGTTTTACGTGACCTGCTTGCAGGAGGGTATGGCGCATCTCCTCCGCATTCCCTCCCTCTCGCGCATCTCAGGTCCCCCACTCCACCCCTCCCTCTTCCTTCCTCTCCTCTCGCCCCTCTCTCTCCACCCCCTCCTCCTCCACTCTCACCGCTCTCAACCCATCGTCAACCATCTTCATCGCATGTTCGGATCTGGTAGCAGCACACGTCATGCCAGTGAGTGTATCAGTGGGGGCGGATGAGGTAGGGCCGGGGGCAGTAGCACCCTCTGCCGCTGCTACCGCCACAACCGCCGGTAGAAGCAGCAGGAGCAACCGCAGTGGCATAAACAACTGATTCATTCAACCTTTACAATACTGTTATTTTTGTTGACGTGTGTTTAAATAGGATTCATTCAATGGTGTGTTCGCTTGACAAGCAGGAACTAGGCCGAGGATGCAGCACTAGGTATCTCAACCAGATCAACAGCAGTAGTATTAATGCTAAATGAGATGGGTTTCTATTTGTATATATACTCAGTAGGGTGGTACAAAGGTGAGTGCAAAATATTCTGAACCAAGGAAATGATTTGTCAACGATTTCTTCTTGAACGTTTTCAGTCCTTCCCAAAACCTCGGGGTGTGTTCCTACGGCCTCGTATTAAGGAATCCTCTTGTCAGACTTGCGTTGGACCACTCTGTAACGCACGTTATCACTTTCAACCGCACCAAAAAATCATTGAAGCGCACAAGTCTGACAAGAGGTGCGTCTGATAAGAGGCGTAGGAACACGCCCTCAATACCCAGGTGAGCCCTTGAATGTACCCCTTGTTAGAAATAGTTTGTTTGTGCTTCATGGTATTGCAAAATTGATTGGAGATATTGAAAGTGTCCCATGTGGCGCCTTTAAAGGTGCATAGAGGCTAGTAGCCTGATGGCAGAGGCAGGAGTTCAAAAACCCCGCTGAATTCAACTGCTGGACATTTGCAGGCAGAGAACAATAAGGACATTATGGCAGCAAGCCATACTTGTTTACACAAATTAGCACAACAAACATGTTGTACCTTAGATTCAAGTGCTGAACCTCTGCAGGCAGATAATAATAAGGAAGGATATTTAGGCACTAAGCAAACATGTGTATGTGATCAACCAAGAAAAAAACGATGCTTTATGATACCATGACACAACAATATCAGTGGGAAGCACCAAATATACCCTATTGTGCAAAGAGATACTATGATGTTGGAACAATGAAACTGAGAGTGCACGCATCCAAAATCCTCATAAATGAAGAGTCGTTGAAAAAATCCGTACTTTACAACAGGTCTACTCGTACGGGTACGTGGAATGGTATTGCACTCATATGTGCAAGATTTGTAATATGACAGAGACAATGTAATATGTAAGTGTACCTTGCAGCCCACCCTCACAATGTTGAGCTAAGCTGCTTAGTATTTGTCCTATTCTGCTCCCGACAACCTTGGTGAGCCTGTTGTTTCTCCCGGACCATCCTTCCGAAATGGTACAGCTCATTCTTTTACAGTTGCGTGTCCATTGTGTGCCGTTGATCTTCACTATCGACAGTGCAACGGCACTAACGGTGTTCCTATCTCACGATTTGGTGAAAACGAACACACTCTCGATACCATGAAGGAGTGTATACAGTACCAGCAGATGCTCTCTGAAATGGTGAGCCGCCTTCTCTGTGCGGTTCGCCAATTCACATACCAATGCGGAACTGGCGAGGCGAAACAGTAACAAAAAGTGCAGAGCTGGCCGGGTTTAGCACAGAAACATTCCACCGTCGCTGCTTGCGCAAAACGCTTCCCCCAACTTTTCTCGATCCCCCCACCCATCGCTTCACCCCCAACCCAGCTCGATCTCCCTATTAAAGTTCTAGAGTGTAGTAGGCTTAGAAGCCATAGTTTAGGTGCCTTAGTAGCTTAGGTTTTAGGGTGTAAGGAAAATGTCGAGGAAGTTGAAAGGAGAGAATGTGATTCACTAACAAGAGTTGGGATACAAGTACAACACCCTAAATTAGGTTGTACTCATTACAGAGTACCCCACTGCAAGCTAGACAGCAAATACATTCTGACACACCCCCATAGCCAAAGTGGGGTGTAATCAGCACAATGAGCAAGCATAGAGCAAGAGTTCACAATAGGTAAGTAAGGCTAGAGCTAATCACAGAGGGCAAGTGAGGAGGAGGAGCGACTGTGGAGGAGAGAAGATGGGAGGCGACTGCTGACGCTGCAGACACACAGACGAGGTGCTGGCTCAGTGGCTACCGGAACAGTGCTCCAGACTACTGGAGTAACTGGCCCCGCGGCTAAAAGTAGCGGCAGACGAGCAACGGACCCACGGGCGATTGGCGACTACCGGAGATTGTAGCCTCCGGACTGCTGCTGTTGCTGACGACAAGACTGCTGCCTCCACCCAACCTCCCCCAGCTGCCCAACGCCCCTCTCACACACCCCCTGCTCAAACCCTAGCCCTACACCCACAGCACCCCCTAAACCCTAAACCCTAGACTCCCACACATCCACCCCCCTCAGCGATAGCTGCAGCAGTGGGAGACGAAGGAGGAGGAGGAGGAGGGGACGGCACGCAAAACCGACACCCCCACAACCATCACCCCCACACCCACCCCCCCACGGCTGCACCGGGTCCAGGAGCGGCTGCTGCAGGGGCCAGGGGCGGCTGCTCCAGGGGCTGCTGCTGCTGGGGCGGCTGCTCCAGGGGCTGCTGCTGCTGGGGCGGCTGCTCCAGGGGCTGTTGCTAGGGCGGCTAGTCCCGGGGCTGCTGCTGCTGGGGCGGCTGCTCCAGGGGCTGCTGCTGCTGGGGCTGCTCCTACTGGGGCGGGTGCTGCTGGGGAGGCTGCTCCAGGGGCTGCTGCTGCTGGGGCGGCTGCTCCAGGGGCTGCTGCTGCTAGGGCGGTTGCTCCAGGGGCTGCTGCTGCTGGGGCGGCTGCTCCAGGGGCTGCTGCTGCTGGGGCGGCTGCTCCAAGGGCTGCTGCTGCTGGGGCGGCTGCTCCAGGGGCTGCTGCTGCTGGGGCGGCTGCTCCAAGGGCTGCTGCTGCTGGGGCGGCTGCTCCAGGGGCTGCTGCTGCTCGGGCGGCTGCTCCAGGGGCTGCTGCTGCTGGGGCGGCTGCTCCAGGGGCTGCTGCTGCTGGGGCGGCTGCTGTTGAGGCGGCTGCTCCAGGTGCTGCTGCTGCTGGGGCGGCCGCTCCAGGGGCTGCTGCTGCTGGGGCTGCTGCTGCTGGGGCGGCTGCTGATAGGGCGGCTGCTCCAGGGGCTGCTGCTGCTGGGGCGGCTGCTCCAGGGGCTGCTGCTGCAGGGGAAATTAGGAGGGAGGGGAGGGGAGGGGCGCGGCCCCCAGGGTGCCCTGACGGGCGACGTGCTAGGGAGCCGCGCAGGCCCCCGAAAGTGCCCCGACGGGCGACGGGAGGGGACCGCGCGCAGGCCCCTAAGGCGCCGTGACGAGGCAACGGGAGGGGCCGGCGCGCGGGCCCCGAAAGTGCCGCGACGAGGCGACGGGAGGGGCCTGCGTGCGGGCCCCCAAACCGCCGCGACGAGGCGACGGTCAGGGCCAGTGCGCGGGCCCCCAAGACGCCGCGATGAGGTAGGAGCCCGCCGCGCGCCTCGGGGCGCACGGCAGGCAGAAAACCGCCACGCGTTCCGAGCGCGTGGCGGGAAGAAAAATAGAATGTCGCGCGCCACAGGGCGCGCGACACACAGTAGGGCAGCGGAAGCAAGTGGGCCCACAGGCCAGGAGCTTTAAGCTCTGATAGCATATTAAAGTTCTAGAGTGTAGTAGGCTTAGAAGCCATAGTTTAGGTGCCTTAGTAGCTTAGGTTTTAGGGTGTAAGGAAAATGTCAAGAAAGTTGAAAGGAGAGAATGTGATTCACTAACAAGAGTTGGGATACAAGTACAACACCCTAAATTGGGTTGTACTCATTACAGAGTACCCCACTGTAGGCTAGACAGCAAATACATTCTGACACTCCCCACCCACCCATCGCTTCCCCCCCAAATCGACCCCCCCACACCATCGCTTCCCCCAACTCGATTCCCCTCCCCAACCAACCCAACCCAACTGCCGTGCCCCTGTTGTACTTAGCGCTGCTGCTTCGCCTGCTGGTCATTTCACATCCCAGCGTCCTCTCACTTTTGTTGTTCAGTTTCAGCTGCGCTTGGCTCAACTGTTTAGTTTCCTCGCCTCACCACTATTTTAGTCTTCTCACCATTCTTCAACTTGCTCGTTCTCTTCGCATCGGTGGACGCGTATAGCTGCTCGTACTCGCTTTAGCACGCGACTGCTTTCGTTCCCTAATTTCGCCTTGCTCACCATTTATCGTCTTGGAAGTAAGACCTAAAAGGTTATTTCATTCGGTGTTTCTTTAGCTACCACTACCTACCAGCGGTCATCGCCATAAGGGCGCGACGCAGCAAGAACATCGACTCGATGTTCGCAAGGGCACAACAACTTGCCCCCACCGTGGGGTGACAACTCTGGATTATTCCTTGGTGCTCGACAGCGCAAGTGAGAGCGCCTCAGTAGGCGCGCAACCATGTGCTTGCATCTGCAGGTGCTTGCCGCGCCTCTGCAGGCGCATGCCGTTTCAGGTGCGCGCTACGTGACTGTGCAGGTTTGAGTCTGGATGTGTGCTCGCCCTCTCTCATTTCCCCGTTGCTTTTGAGTGTTTTTTTGCTTTCTAGTCGCTCTGTGCGTTTCAGTGTTGGCTAATGAAATATTTTGTGCTGAAATTGTCTCTCGTTCCATCTTCTGTTTCATTAACCCATTGTGTTGATATGGGCTGAAAAATAGGCCTCACGCTCTCTATCACGCGCGCGAAATTTGTGTTCCGGCGGTTTTTGCGAGAAATTGTCGCCAGCACGGCTATGGGCCACGCTGCCTTACATGACCATTGCGCGGTACCGGACGTCACTTACGTAAGTCACCACTGCCATTTGTTATATCTATTTCGCTTGAAGATACCTTTCATAAATTGGAGGTTGTGACATCCAGACATATTTATTCTGGTCACGTGTTTGAGCAACACTGTTGAGTGGTTGTTGTCAGAATATTATATTTGTCTAGCTTGCAGTGGGGTACTCTATAGCGAGTACAGCCCATATTAGGGTTTCCTATATGTACTTAACTGCCTGCTAGTGCAAATCCTCTTTCTTGGTCTAACTTTCTACCTGCTATTTTCTGACATGGTATCAGAGCGGTCACGCTCCTAGCCTGTGGGCCCATCGCTAGCTTCCGCTGTTGTCCTGTCTGTCGCGCGCCCCGTAGCGCGCGGCGTTTTTTCTTCCCGTCACGCGCTCCTGGCGCATGGCGGTTTTCTGCCC